CCCCCCCGGGTACAAATCAAGTTTCACAAGCCTAGAATGTAACATACCCGGGTACCCAAGAATGCGAATTACGGTAATATAAATTAGGTAACTTCCAGGAGTTATAACTTGGGAAAAAAAGGAAATTCGAAAAAAAAATTTGGCTAAAAAAAATTTTTTGTCCCACCCTTCATTCCTGACTTATATCGATTTGTCCCCCGCTGTAAATAAAATAATTGCCAAAAAAAACACAAGATCCAATGATATAAATAAACTTAAAAACGCGCGAAACGTCCAATATTTCTTCCCCCCCTGTAGATGGTAAAAAAGTTTTTTACCAAAACAACGCACATAATTTATTATAAAATAATTGTCAAAAAAAACACAAGATCCAATGATATAAATCAATTTAAAAACGCGCGAAACGTCCAATATTTCTATTCGATATTTTCGTCATCCCAGTCATCCGTTATTCCGTTATTCGTCTGTATTATTGCTTCGTTTGCCAACGTATTTATTTTTTGGGCGTTCATTTACCATTTCGCGTCACATTCGCTCCTCATATTTTGCTATGCAGCTGTATATACGTTATTTCAAGTCACGACTCGTCCTTCCAAAATGTCTAGTTCGTCTCAGTCTCCTCGGACTTATTATCAATATTTCACATTTCCAGAAGAATCCCGAACGTTGGTCACTGGTGGATTTTGACGCGTGGGCTATTGCCAACATCGCTGGCACCCGAATTGCAACAGCACACCGGTCCTTTTATAAGGGTTTGAATGCCATACTCTCACGGGACACATCCAACGAAAACGAAATTAAACATGCTCTTCGTTTATTGGGTACAAAGAAGGTCAGTGCTACTACTTTCGACTAGATAGGGGATCGCTTTGTGACTCTTGCTGACCACGTCTTGGCGAGAGTAATGCAAACTAGCCGAATCGGGAGACCTGCTCCTAACTACGACTTGGGAGCAGTTTAAACCTCTCCTGATCACTTTGCTGCCCTTTGCTGACTACGCCTTGGCAAGGGTGGGTTAAGCGGAGGTCCTCTGTTCACGTTGTGTTGCCTTCCCAATATGTTTAGTCGCTCTCCATGTCTAAGTGCTACTCACTTTCATATATTTTGACAAGGATGATATAAAATCAAATAAATCGCTTTGGAAAAATACGGATGCTTTGCAAATGGTTCATCAAGCAACAGAAGTTGTTAGGGCACATACCGTGCTTGATAATCTCACGAGGGATCGTGTCGAAGGGCTTATCGGTCACAAAAGAGTAAGCCAAGCCAATTGCTTTGCTAGTTGATTTGCTTCTATGAAATAGCACTAACCTTTATTATTGGCCCAGGGTCGCGGTGATGACGGCATAGATGATTATGAAAATTCATTTATCGCCCAACAGGAAATTTGTCAAAATGACGATGAAAATCTTGAGCAGTTGGTAAAATCATTTGCTAGAGAAGTTTGATACTCCGCTGGAAATTTTTTTTATTCAAATTATTTCTTTTGATAATTGTAGGAAAAAGACCCTTACACGTTGCCAGAAAGGGCAGCAAAACGTCGAGAGATTGTCACAAAAATTCAGAGCATAAGGGCAATGATGAAGGCAATGATGAAGGCAATGATGAAAGCAATGATGAAAGCAGCGATGACGAGTCCCCATGTGAGTCAGCCAGGAAGCGATTGGGGACTTTATCCAACTTTCAAGTGGAGACCACACGACAGCTAGAAACCCTCAACAATACTTCAGATTCTTCCTATTATCCCAATTCTGAGAGTTCAGATTCAGATAGCATCAACCAAGTTGAATCTGAATACCGGCAAGAATGGTTTGTTGGTTTAGGAAGTGAGGAATGGGTGTTAAACAAGGACGTATGTCAGGTAATGTCTAAACACTGGATTTTAAAATTGCGTTATCCAGTATTAATTCTGCTTTTGTACAGTGGATAGTTGAAGATGTGAACGTATCAGCCATGTTCGTGAAATACCGTCAATTATCTGTTCAGAAAGCATCCCGTGATAGGATGGAAAGTGCAGCGGAAATCCTGTAAATATTTATATTTAGACTCTTCGGGCTTGTTAGACCTTTTAATGTATGTTGACTCAACCTTTTCGTGCTTGAATTTAGTTCTCTAAATCACATCTTTTTGCTTGAAGAAGACAGCGAAATTGGAATCCGGGAGATATTCGACGGAGAACTGTGGGCAACGATGTTCAACAGCATTAAAACCGAGTTTGTCTCTTCACAACTCTCAGATCATGACGTTTTAAGGTGTCATGCCATGTGTAAAGCAAGTCTTCGCTTCCTTATCCTCTTGATGTTTTCCAAGTGTTAAACTTGTTGGCTCAACTAGGCTGCAAGCAAGACTTTAATGGATTGCAAACTACTTCTCCGAGAATGGCAGCAACAGATGGATAGAGAGAAGGAAGATATTATTTTGGAGCTTTTTGAATCGATGTAAGTCTTGAAAAATTCATTTCGGTCGGTTTTCTATATTTGTACAGTGCAGGACACTTAAAGACGCCAATAAAAATTAGCCATCTTTAAATGGTAAAGGATCGTCAAAAAAATGTAGTACAAGAAAAGGAAGGCCGTTATTTTGTAGTAAATTGGCTTAGCTACAAGATAGCGGCCTTCTTTTTAAAAAATAATTGCCCATTTTTGACTAGTTGTTTAAAAATGCCCAATTTTCATATGATCGATGGTCAGTGGGACATATCCAAAGTAATAACGTGACCGGTGATCGTCCAATCAAACATTTGATTGGTCAATCCCGGATCACGTTTTTATTTTTTATTGGTTGTTGCGTTGCAATGTGGCTTCGACAAATATGATTGGATCACGTTTTCGAAATTCGAAAAGCACTTTTTCAATTCGAAAGTGCTTTTTAAAATTCGAATACCCAGAAAGAGAAAAAATATCAGGCTTCTTCA